TAACATTTACAGCTCCTAGAACCCCCAGGAAGCTTGGAAGACTGACTTTTAGTGACCCATTTCCTGGAACGCCTCTTGTCTCTATGAACTCTGATACTGGCAAGAGATCGTACAAATCATTAAAAGAAAACCTTTATACGGAGAGAGCAGTTCGTGAGGTCTGTGGTACAGAATGCTGAAGATTCACTCTGACTCCCCCGGGGGCCTCTCAGCCCCTCCAGGCACAGGCTGCCCCTCACCCTGCCCCTCACCTGGGACATGGTTGGCTCCTAGTGGCTCAGGAGGGACAAAGACGTAAGCAATTGTCCTTCTAGGGACAAGAAAATAGTCTCCAGCTGGTTACAGCCTGGTGTGGACCACCACTGCCCCTCGCTCTGGGACTGTCTCATTTATTGAGGGCTTACCCTATGCCTGATGGGACCTAGGAGACAGACATAAATGTCCACCCGTGAAGAGACCATCAACATGGGCTCAAGGTGCTTCGCCCACGCCACTGTCTTAACTACGGCTTGGCCACGAGCTGGGAAAGGCACATATGAGCATGTGGAGGTTAAGCAGAGGCTGTTGGATGCCCTAGAACAGGAGTCCCGGGAGGTTGTAGGGAGTGGGAGCTGAGCCCAGGTCCTGTAAACCCTCTTAACCATGGAGGCAACCCTGCAGCTAGCTCGAGCTTCCATCCTTTAAATCCCTCAGACCCGAGAGCTGTGTTCTAACAGCCCTATGCCTACAGAACACCCAGAGGGTGCCAGCTGTTGGCTTAAATGAGAACAAAAGAAAAGTTCCCCGGAATGGGCTCGTTTCTGGAGAACGCTCCAGGGCCCACCCCTCCACCCAAGGCATATTGTGCTTAATGCTAGCCGAGGGCCATAATAAAATGCTTCTGACAGACGGAAGTCCTTAACAGTAAGACATGTTGGTCCCGCTGGAGGCCACGAGAAAGAGCTGCCCCAGGGCTCAGGGAGAGTGGAACACTGACCCATGGTGTCTTCTGAGGAGACACAGATGCCAGCTGAGCACGTCTCCTTCGTTCAGTAAGCAATTCTGATGGGGGGGGGAGGGGGGAGATGTGAAAAGGTGTGCAAGATCCACCTCCTATCCTTGGAACTCATGCTTGACCTGGCAGCTGCACCCCATCCCGGACAAACCCTAAAGATGCCATAGGAACGAAAAACATACTTAAAAAAAAAGAAAGAAGGAAAACCTTTCCGCCACAGTCTAGGTGAGGATGGGCTGCTGGGTGTGGATGGAGGGGCAGGCGCTGCCTTCATTTGCATACATTTCTGGGTGCCCTGAACGTCTTAGAGCCAGTCTACGTCGCTAAAATAACTTTCACACAAACAGGAGCAAACACGAATGTTTAAATATTGTGCAGAGGGGCAGATATGACAGTAAGTGTACAAGGCAACTATCTGCGGACTTCCTGCCGTGGGCTGCAGTGCTTCAGTACAGGGCTGAAACGCAGGGAGAAACCGCACCTAGTGTTTGGACCCCTGCCTGCCTTGCGCTGAAGCGTGGACTGTGTTCCTGTCCCCTTCTGGGGGGGATTCTCTAGCCCAATTCTCCTTTCCACACCTATAAGGTACCTTGAGATCCATGACTACGGATCCTCCGACCTCCAGCCACTTCCCCAAGCCTTCCCAGAAAAGCAGTCCCTTCTCAGCCCTTACGTCTACCAGAAGGCATTCCTTCTTCATGGTGACTCCCGGAAGTCAGACCTGGGGCCTTTGGGGTTGGCAGGGGTGATCTGGAGAGGCCTGACCTCCTGTTAGGGCAGCGCACCCCTCCCCCAAGCTTGAAACCAGCTCTTAAAAAAAAAAAATCAAATCTTGGGCCAGAGATACAGCTCAATAGGTGAAGAAAGGAGCTTGCTGCCAAGGCTGACAGCCCGAGTTCAATCCCTCTCATCCCCTGGGAGGAGAGAAACCACTGCTGCGAGTTGCCCTCTGACCTCCACTTGTATGCACCCCTAGGTAAATAAGAATGTCCTCATCCCTAGGTGAATAAGCGTAGTAAGAATTTTCAAAAACTCCTGTCTTGCTCATGCCTCTAACCCAGCCCTCCAAGGCAGCTGGCTCAGAAGTTCATCTGCTATGCAGAGAGTTCAGATCAGCCTGGGTAGCATGAGATCCTGCCCCCGCCAAACAAATCAGAACAGATACTCCTCCAGACTGAACTCAATTTCTCTTTCCCTTCTCACTGCATCAGAAGCCTTATTCCCTTCTGCATCTGGCTCCTGGATCTGGAGTCCTCTCAGACCTGTGGGCAAATCCCTCACCTACTCACACCCGAATAACTCTCACCCCCAGGCGAGAAGAGGAACACTGGTATGAGGCCTAACCCACACTGGAGCTGCTGTTTTGCACAAATGATCTCCAATTTCAAGTGTTGGTGAAAACAGAGGTATTTCTCCCACTCTGGGCCTGGCTCTCTGATGATCACAGGAACAAATCCAGCTTGCTACAGTAGGGTACCTGACCCTGGAAATAGCGAATCATCTTTATTCAGCTTCAGACAAACCTCTGCCCTGCCATGTCCCAAAGTCAGCCAGAGACCTCTTTTGCTGCTGTTGTCTTTTCGGTCACAAATGAAAAGGCCAGCATCGTTGAGCTGAGCTGGACAAGAAATTTCACTCACAGAATGGTCCCAAGTCAAGACTACCAGTAGCTAAGCTGTAAGAAGCGGCAGGCGAAAGCCTGATGTTTCTCTCTCAGAGACTGCTAAGCCCGGCCAAGTAAGCAAGTTACAACAAGAACGTTTTCTTACCCAAGATCACCAAGAGGAGGCTGAGAGAGACAAGCAGGAAGGCTTTCATGTTAGCTGTTCTTGCTAGATCGTCTGAGGAGGAAATGAGTCCTCTCCTCAGCTGCCCCGAGTTTTAACTGTCTTTCAGGTCCAAAGTCCAGTCATTACCGTACGTCAGTGTAGGCAAAGGCAACTCGTCAAGATCTGGTCATATAGCTCAGGCTGCTTCCAGCCTCAGAGATAGAGGACCAGAGCCCAGCTTCAAGATGATTTCCTTGACTCAAAGTCCAGAATAACTCAGGAATTCTGAGTTCTCTTTCGAAATCCCTGCAAGGTCAGAGATGGGTGCCCTCAGTTAATCTCTGTATCTCAGACATGGTTGACCTATTACCTGTTCAGAGCCCACTGTCCCTTTAAGCACCCAGTAATCTAGGTGTGAGTAACTGTCTTACCTCTGACCCCTTTTGTCTTAAAACAACAACTTACTTATTTTGTGTGTGCGTGTGCCGCAGAATCTTGACCCTCCACCATGAGGGATCAAGGGATGGAACTCAGGTCATCAGGCTTGGTGGCAGATGCCATTCCCACCGAGTCATCTTCTCAGCCCCCACCCCCGCCCTTGACTGCAAGGAATTCCATTCTCTCCACCCGAAGTTCTAACAATCCCTGAGAAGTACTTTGGTGTTTTCCTCATCTGTCTGTGACTTGACTTCTGTCATCTTTCTCTTCGGATTCCCACTCTGGGCTTCTCTCAGTGATCACCTCTAGAAACCCCTATACTTGTATCTTCAAGCTTCCATGGCTCTCACTCGTCACCTTACCTGGACATAGTGGACACAGACCCCAAATTTCATGCTCCTATTAGAAGCAGGCTTGAAGGTAATTGAGGAAGAACTCCCTCTCTCATATTTAGCTTGGCCCGCCATCTTTGGTGTTCCCGATTTTGATTTTAACAAGGGGTACGTATCACAATTGCCTCCCTTTAGAGTTTGAAATTCCACATGCTAAAAGAACATGTGGGAGGCAGAAGAGGCAGACAGATATCTGTGAGTTCAAGGTCAGCCTGGTCTAGGGGGAAAGTTTCAGGTCAGCCAGGGTTGCCTGTCTTTAAAGAGAGCCAGTAACTGCCTTCAAACAACAACAGAACAGACACAAAAGAGCAATCACCATGTGAATGGAGAGAAAGCATCTTAGTTACTTTTCCTTAAATATTTAAAGTATGATATGAAAGATGAAGAGATGTGGCTCAGTTGATGTGCGGACTTGCCTGGCATGCACAATAAACTCGGGCATGGTGGCACATGACTGTAATTTTAATGCTTTTAGAGGCTCTGGCCCTCTCTCACACACAGAATTAGATCATGAAACTAAATAAGTAAAAACATTCCTTCCTTGCTATTAAAAAAAAGGGAGGGGAAGGAGGGCAGGGTAACAGTTTTGTTGAGGCCCATTAACAGGAAGCCGGCTTCCTCTTGGCAAAGCATGGCTGTTGTGACTGGTTGATCGTTCTTTTTTAATGTGCTCAGCTTTGAGTTGTAACTCTGGCTGTGGGTAGAGATCCGGCTTTCTAGAATAGAAACAAAGGCATACTAGCCTCCCTTCTCCTAAGACTTGATCCAGAGGGGCCTGTCAATCACCTGGGCAGGGCACTGACCCTCAGAAAAGCTGTCTGCAACCCTGAGGGAAAATAGACTAAAGTCCACCTTAACCTGAGTCGGCCCAATGGGTCCTTTGGTTGTTATCCGCTGTCACCCCTCTGTGGCCATTGTCCCTTCTCCCTGAGAACACTCCAGTTTCCTCAAGAATAAAGTTATCTGTCTCCTACACTAGGCTCCCTGGATGGCGGTTCAATCAAAGACAGCAGAGGACAGTGGGGGAGGCCAGAGTGACAGCCCTCTTAGAGCAGCAGAGCTGAAGGCTCCTGGACTAGGAACCCGCCAGGCGCTAGATTGCAGCGCTCCTGGGTGTCACCCACTTTCCTCAGCCCTTTGTTCTCCGGCCCCTGAGCTCCCTCAGTCTCAGGAGCCAGCTCTGTCACCTGATTAGGCTTTCTTAATCCAGTCCTTTCTTAAGGCCCAGCCCAACCCAGAGGAAGAGACACCAGCAATCCCCGTGACTTTTAACCGGAGCCTGCACTCTGTCCTCAATTTAAAAATTGTGTTCAAGCCCAGAAGCGTGAACATGATTTGTGATTGTCCCCAAAGTCTCCATTCAAGAATATGCTAAGGGGCTGAGGAGATGGCTTAGAGCTTAGAAGTGCTTGGAGGTCTTGTACATGACTGGAGATCTGGTTTTAGCATGCAGATCAGGTGGCGCACAACTGATCTTCTAACTCCAGTCCTGGGGGATTCCAGGCCTCTGGCCTCTGTGGGCACCTGCGCTCGTGTGCAAGCATGCACCCCCCCCCCCAGAAAAATAATAAAAATTAAAAAATTATGGAGAATACGACAAGGAGGCTGGGGAGATGGCTTACTCAGTAAAGTGAGGGCCTGCCTCAAGAGCCGGGATCCATGTTAAAAGATGAACCCGGTGGTGCAAAACCCGGGCCTTACAGCAGATACTAAGGACTAGCCGAAAAGGCAAGCTCCAGGTTCAGCGGAAGACCCTGTCTCAAAAATTAGGCAGGGAATGGAGTTGGACAGATAGTTCAGAGGTTCTAGAACACTGGCTGTTCTTCCAAAGGTCCTGAGCTCGATTCCTTGGTGGCTCGTAACCATCTATAGTGAGATCTGGTGCCCTCTTCTGGTGCTCAGGCACACATGCAGGCAGAATGCTGTACTGTTATTATTAAATAACAAACATGTTTATTATTACTTAATAAGAATATTAAATAACAATAATAAGTATTTATTATTAAGCAATACTAAATATTAAATAATAAATAAATAAATCTTTACAAAAAGCAGGGGAGCCCCAGATTCCCCTGGCGTTGGGCTTCCTGGTGGTTTAAGCAGCCTGACTTGGGTACTGGGGACAAACCTGAGTCCACTGGAAGAGCGAGAAGCTCTCTCAGCTGCTGAGCGACCTCTCCAGCCCTTAAAAATGTTTTTTTTTTTTTTTTTTTTTTTTTATATTCAGGATGAGGTCAAACTGTAGGGTGGACAGTGAGGTTCAGAAGGCCTTGCAAAATTAACAATGTGAAAAAGCCATCTGGCAGAGAGGAAGGTAGAAGCCACCCCAGCACCCCTAACCATCTCCACCAGGGCTGACTAGAACCTCTGGGGCCTGTGGCTCAGGCACTGGGGCATACCGGAACAATGCAGTACCAACAATGCAGTACCCCCAGGTAGAGGTCCAACATGCTAATCAGACATGGGACATACAAAGTTGTATGCAGAACTACATGTATAAGAACACATTCGAAGGCTGGGCGCGGTGGTGCACAACTGTAATCCCAGCACTTGGGGAGGCAGAGGCAGGCGGGTCTCTGTGAGTTCGAGGCCAGCCTGGTTTATAAATAGAGTCCAGGACAGCCAAGGCTACACAGAGGAACCCTGTCTTGAAAAAACGAAGAACGCATTTGAGAAACGCAGAAAGATCCCATGGCCTGGTCGGCCTGCCTCTGTTACACAGGTCCTTATCCTTTGCCCCACAGTGTGGCTGAGCTTCTAACCTTTCTTGCTACATTAGGTCTGCTCCTGCTGCAACCGAGCGTTCCTGTTCAATCCCTTAGTCACAGATACAAGGCCTGGAACTCCCCCAGGTCCTCAACAAAACCCTGATAGCCACTAGTATCCAAGGCTCACCCAGCTGTGAGCTTGAACGGCACCAGGGTTTAAGCAAAAGCCTCTTTCCATTCTTTTTCCATATTCTCCTTTTTTTTCTTTTCCGTTTTTTTTGAAGATTAACTTTACTGAGATGTAACTTATAATAATAGATCCTGTCCAGTTCACTTGTGAAACAAAAAAGTTTTGATCACTGGGTAGTCGGTCAAAACTTTTTTGTTTTGATCTACAGAATTCAAAACTTGAATTCTACAGAATTCAAGAGGGTAGTCTCTTGAATTCTGTAATTCAAGAGACTCTGGTTCCCTCCCTCCACCCCCCACCCCAGGCCACTGGCCCATTTCTGCCATTTGCATTTTCTAGAGTTTTATGTAAGTGGGACCCTACCCATGTGCTGTATTTTTTTCCCCTTTTGGTCTTTCAGCACACTCAGTTTGAAAGCCATCTCTGTGTGTCAGCAGTTCCACATTTCTGTAGAGTGGTCTAGAATATGAATACACTATTGTTTCTTTTTATTGATGAGAAAAAGCCCTACGCTACAGTCTTCAAAACAAACTCCATTTTTGTTGTTGGAATAGTTCTAGGGTTTTGTTTGGTTGGTTTGTTTTTTTTTTTTTTTTTTCATTTTAGATAGTCAGGATGTTCTAACTTGTACAATTTCGCACTCCCACTAGCACTGTATGAGAACTACAGTTGGTCTGCCTCCTTGCCAACACTTGATACTATCAGCTTTTAGACCAGCATTCTAAATGGCAGGTGTAGGCTCTCACTCTAGTTTTAGTTTGCATCTCCTGATGACAAAGGATATTAAACATTTTTTTCATGTGTTTATTATGCATTTATGCCTCCCTCTCTGCGTTTTCTGTTCAAATAATTTGTCTTTATTTATTTAAAGTGTACACACACACACATATGCACGAAGGCACACAAGCACTCACATGTATTTGAGATAGGACCTCATGAGCCCAGGCTAGCCTGGAATTCTCTGTATGACTGAGGATGACCTTGAACTTCTGATCTTCCTACCTCTGTCTCCCAAGTGCTGGGAACATGGGCGTATATCATCAGGCCATCATGTCTGATTTTTTCTAGTGTCTGGCACTGAACCCAGAGTTTCATGTGTGTTAGCCAAGAGTTCCACCAACTGAGCTACATCCCAGTCCAAATGTTTCTGTTATAAATTAAATTGTTGTCTTGTTTTGGAGTCCCAAGAGCCCATTACTATCTATCTGTCTGTCTACTATCTATCTATCTATCTATCTATCTATCTATCTATCTATCTATCTA